TTGGCTTCGGCGGTTTGGGAGGCAAGGCTGCAAGAGAAGGGGGGTTGAAACTGGGTGAGCCCAAATGCCAGCTCCCCACAGGTAATCCCTTGGAGTGCTGAGTCCCCCTCCCTGCAGTGACTGGCCTGGAAAGCCCCCTTGGCCACCATGCTACCAGGAGCTACTCCAGGCACATCTTCACCTTGGGCCAGCCTCCAGGCACAGCTGGGCTACCAAAACACCCTGGGCAACCCGTTGGTGGGGGCAGATTCCACACCCACAGAGCACAGACACCAGTGCCTCAGGCTCCAAGGAAGGGGCATCTCGGTACCTGGAGACAACTGTTCCGGCTCCAGCTCCTTCGTCTGCAGGAGTGTCTCCAAAAACAGCACGGAGAAGTCAGGGCTCAGCTCTGGGCTGCAGGGAGAGAGCAGGCAAGTTAAGAACAGCAGTTGTGGCGGAGAACAGCAGTGGCACTGCTCCCATGAGCCCTGGGCAAAGGGGCAGCCGGGGTTAGCTGGTTCATCCCAGCTGCCAGATCCCAGGCTGACACAGAAACAAGGGTTCTGTCCCAGCTTTGAGTCCCACCCCTGTGTGCTGCCAGCAGTTTGATCCCAAAGGCAGGGGCTGTGGGCAGACCTGCTGTTCCAGGCTGGACTCCCCGTCCTGGCAGGCAGTGGCCAGGAACACTGGGAATACTGCTGGAACTGAGGGCCTCACGTACCTGGCGCCAGGCAGCTGCAGGAGCAGGGGGCTGAAGATCTCTCCCAGGGCCCAAGGGTGGAGGTTGTTGCTCTCCGCCTGCTGTGATACCTTCCCCAGATGCCACAGCAGGAACTGCAGGGTGAGCATGTTCTGGAGCGGGACCGCAGGCGACTCCAGGGCCAGCAGCAGCTCTGCGTCCATGAAGAAATGGTATCGTTGCAGTAAGGGTGCTGCATCTCTTACTGACACCTGCACTAGAGACACATGAAAAGATACTCAAAAGAAAACTGCTGTTTATTTCTTGAATGAGTCTTGTTTCCTCCAGTGCCAGGCTGAGGGAGGTTGAAACACACACTAACGAAGACCATATTTCTTATATATGGCAGTTTTCTTTATTGATTGCTTGATGTGAAACAATATCAATCTGGATTTTTTTTCCCCCACACATTACAAAAAAAAAAATTAAATTGGCTCAGTCTGCAATCTTTTAAGCACAGCCATATGATTTATTATAAAAAGGAATTAAAAAAAAAAAACACCCTCCCCCCCAAAAAAAAAACCTCTAAAAAGTCTACCAAACAGAGCATTTACAAATGCACAAAAACATGCCACTTTGGCTTAATGGGGAAAAATATTGTCTTCTAGATTAAATAAAAAAAATCTTTTAACATCAATAAGTTAGTATAATTTCTCAGTGTCTTTACAGAGTTATATACACAGGTACACTTCAAACTTTTTTTTTTATTTTTACATACAGGTACACAGGCAATGTAGAAATACTGTTTAAAGATGTAGTATCCCTTTTCCCCTCACACACAAACACTTCGGGCAGTGGCTCAGACCAGAAAACAACAATATCCAAGATGCAGAGCAAAAGCCCTTCAGATTAGGTAAAAAAACCTCAAGCAAATAAACAAACAAGAAAAAAAAATCAGGCAATATAATCAGGTGGGATGATTTTACACAACTTTTACAGGCATTCAATTTTGGTATATGGATTTGAGGCTGGGGGGGGAACTTTTGCTACCATATAATGGAATCATCACAGCTCCCACCTCTTCAGCTTAATGCTATAGAAAGAAACTTCACAAGCGGCCTGTAATAATCACCTCTGAACAGGGTCACCCCAATGATACATTAAACAAAAAAACAAAAAAAACCCAAACAAACAAAAAAAACCAACAACAAAAAAACCAACAACAACAAAAAAGAGAACACTGCAGACCCACTTAAAGGAAAATACATCTTTAAGTGATAAAAAACCTACATTGCTTCTCTTCATAGATTTATTTGCTTGCTAGATTGTGAAAGCAAGTTCCAATCAGTCACCCTCTTACAGACCCTCCCCCCTCCCAACAAGTTTTATGTGCTACATAGTGTAAAAACTATATACACAGGTAGTACAAGGAAGCAAATAAGGAAACACCTAATTGCACAATGCTACATCCAATGCTTTTAGAGGCAGGTCTTTTAAGAGTGCCTAAAATTTAGTGTTCTTGTTTGCTTTCTCTTGATTTTGTTTTGTTGTTGGTTTTGTTTTTTTTTCTCAGTGCTTGTACATGACCTCCATCCCACGGAGATCGGCGATATGTATTTTTCTTTTCCACTACAACTTTCCATCTTCCTCGCTTCATCACCTCCCCTGCGCCACCACACCCGATGAACGAGGACGTGCACATCCTCCGCTCTGCAACAGGGTAAGGAAAAGGAATTAAAAAAAAACAAAACAAAACAAAACACAAGGGAGAAAGTGATTAGAAAACATCGAAAAGAAACGCGATCCGTGGCGCAACTGGTTCAAACCGACACCGCATCTCCGGGGCGTGCCCAGTCCGGGCAGGGCCCCCCCCGCCACCGTCATCCCGTCGGGCCGGGCCGGAGCCGTGCTGCCCGCACCCCCAGGCG